GTAGCGGCCACACACGATGGAGGACTAAGGGGCTGGAATAGAGCACTCACTACGCTCCGTGCCACACATTCATACATACACACCAAATCAAGAAAAGAGGCAAACTGAAAATGTACAAGTGGTGAAGGGAGGTGCAAAATACCACGGCATTCAAAAGGGGTGATGGTGCAGCAGTGGGTAACTCTATCACCAAATCCCCCACCATGAGAAGCCACGCCCGGACCAGACCCTGAGCAGAAAGAGACACAATGAGCACAAGTACCCAATCACAGGGTTCAATATATTAAAATGAACTAAGCACCAAACAAACACAGTAAATAAGTAAATTAAATAAAGAAACAACAAAAACAAAATTAAATGCCAATTAGACCCAAATAAAAACTGCAAGGCACTCAGCGCCTAGTATGACTACAAGAGAGCGGCTACGTCATAGCAGGCCGCCTCCTTTACACACGCAGCGGTCTGAGCCAGCGTCAGGCCTTCAGCAGTGAGAGGAATACCCGCCCCAGGGACCACGATTGGCGCAAGTGGCACAGGGATGTAGCCTCAGTACGGGTGTCTGCTGTGTGTTTATATATGAGTGCTAATGTAATGGAATGCGGAAGTCTACGTACCGGCTTGGGGGGGAATTCCCTCTACGGCGGCTCATTAGGGACAAACAACCCACCGGTTACACTCAGACAACACTCAGACGTGAAACTAGCATTAATCTTTCAGTTATATATTTTGTTAGCAGTGCGTTGCTTTTGTACCATTTCATCAGTGATTGTTGTACAGCTTAAGTTGCGCTAATGCTAATGTTAGCATATGTATCAGATCGCAAATACCTCTAGATGGCTCAATGGATTGAGAGCGTAGGGGAAATGAGAAGCCTGTGAGCGAGTTGGGGGCGGTGTTAAACATTCAAACCTTTCAGAAACGGGTATAGCTCCTTTCACAATCTGACCATATCCAAACATAACGCCCCTGATTTAGACTGACAGAAACATAAACAAATCTAAACGCTATCGTATCTTCACTAATCAGCATTAGACACGGGAGGCTGTAATCTGCCCTACCTAATGATAGAGCAACCTTCAATTTCCTTTTCCCCTCTCGCCGAACGATAAAAATCTATGTACCATCTCGCCCCCGGACCCCGACATGGCCGTCCAGTACGCACATCAGTGACCGGTGTGCGACGGTGGGAATGAGGCTATAGAAAGAAGGCCGGAAACCACTGCACGAGAAAGAATGACAAATGTCCCTTTTAATTCATGTGAGAGGAAGCTTCTAGAAACAAAAGAGGTGTCCCTTTGAGCTGTCAGCGGGAGGACGGGGGCATTTTGGCGCTCGCTGGCCTGCTCGCGGTGAGAATAGCCTCTAAATAGTGTGCGTTTGACAGCTGGAGAGCCATTTCAGAATGTGCTATGTGCCTCTCTCTCTCCCCAGTCCCATTTCACAGCAAAAAAAGCATCCATACTTCCGCGGTAATGTGTAGGAGGGGAGCATAATGGCGTTGCCGAAGTGAATAGGACACTTTACCGATCTAAATGAAGGTTTGGCTGGAGGATGAATGAGTCATTTTAATATCTGTGAATTTGATTTCATTGCTAAGCTATCCCATAAACGGCTTTTGGCGAGTACAGGAGGAGTAAAAATGCGTTCTGAATCGGTATTCCACCTTTTCCCCGCCGCCGCCAATGTGAGAAGTTCTACAGTAGAGACTTGGCTTTTCAATAATTCAACGACCGGACGAGAAACTGGAGAAAGTTTTTGGCAAAATCCTCTCCTCGGTTTGTGGTGATGGATATGGAAACTGTCTGCTCTGAAAGGTTGATTTTTTTTTTCTCCTGGTAAATAGACTGGTGTTTTTTAAACCAGTGCAATTTGTCTGAATTTTTATTAAAAAACAAAACCAACAGCTTGAGTTTTGAGTGTAGTGTGTCTCAGGGATGTGTTTTATAGCGGATCTACATGTATTGTTTTGATTTCTTTCTTTTTACACATTGGCTGATGTTGGAGATTGTGTTGTGTATTCCACTTATTCATTTATTCATTTATTTGACGGGTACATTGCAAGTCAACATAGAACAAAACAAGCTTGTAACTGTTTTAGCCTGGTCGTACCACACCATAGTACAAATTATATTTCGTACTAAGGTCTGGCTTCGCTCCGTTGAGCTCCAGTAACAGGTGGGAGGGGTTAACTTCCTTTTTAGATTGAAACGATTGGATCTGAGTTTACCGCGACGTATGTAATGCAGTGAGTCGTTAGCATTTAGCCTAGCTTTAGCCATCTCCTTTGCTGCTAACGAAGCCCCCGTGGGAAGTAGCGCCATAATCTTTGCCAGCGATTACATTTGCTAAACATTCCTCTTGCTCTGGAACCAGAACGGATTACTTTCTATCGTATTCTTCACCATTGACAAATTACAACCAGCTAATTCGACGCAAACTCTTGACGTCACCAACTTCTACCTACAACACCCGCCTTCCGCGCTCGCTGATTGGTTGTATGGGATTCAACCGATGTAATTGCAGACACTGTGACCAGACCCAGACGGTAAATGCAGGGAAAAGATAATCGACCAGAGTTTACGGATGACTAAGGCCAGGATATAACTGATGCGATGCAACAAGAGATTATAGATTTTGCAAATTTCCGACTGCAGTCCCTGGTTGGGCCTTTCTACACTGAATTAACATAATCAAAATTATCTTAAATCACACTGTTTAAATCATTGACACACACAAACTCAGTGCTATTTACAAATTTACAAATGGGTACAACTCTTTTTCGATTTCAGCCACGACTTAACTCGGAAAGTGAACATTTTAAAGTCAGTCATGGTTTTAGATTCGTAACTGCATGAATTTAAAACCATGCCATATTTTTAATTAGCGACTGCATGAAGAAGCCATTTAAAAATAAATGGCTACTTCACTGCAGCCATTTATTTTTAATTTGCGTTTACAGTAAAAAGCATCCATACTTCTGTGGTAATGTGTAGGAGGGGTACAATTTCTTTGATTGGGTTCATCTAAATGTTGTTGTTTTGCCTGGATATGTACGTGGTTAGTCATTAAACTCTGACATTGTACATAATAAACCTTTATTTCACATATCTCTCCTGTTTGGTTTCCCTTTTTAACATAATTGCAGCTTTCCTGTCTTTCTGCACTTACTGATCTCATTGATGCCAAACGTCACATTTCTCTAAAGTGAGATCGATAAAGTTTGATCTGATTTTATCTTAGACTTTCCTTCAACATTGGAGACAAGAAAGTGGCTTCACTTTAGTTATATCTGTGGAGAAGAGATCTATAATTGAGGATTGTACATGTTTTAAACCAAACCGAGCGACTTTAACCCTTTGATGGTTTCCTCAACCATTTGGCGGATCACTTTTTGAGTCACTTTAGCGATCACTTAAAGCTTAGAACTGAAATCTCTCTCATTGTTGCATCGCTATCATTTGGTTTTAGGCACTTTTACACCAAACTGCAGCTCAATCATTTAGTAGAGGCCTATAACTTAAAGGAAACTGGGGGTTCAAAAAATACATGCTTTCTTCAAGGAGTGAATATTAAAGGTTTAAGAAAATCAATACCATGTTAATCGCAAGAAGAAGTTCCTTTATTTGTCCTACAATGAGGACATTTCAGTTTGATGCATACACATATACACATATACACATCAAGGCAAGCAGCAAACATCACTTCCGCGCTCCTCATAGGCAAAGTGGGTTAAGTGGCAGATCAACAGCAGTGGGAGTCCGTGGAGAAGGTCTCGTGGTGGGCTTGAACCCACAACCTTTCTACTGCTCTACCAACTGTGCCACTGTCGAAGAAGGCGTTGGACCAATTCATTTTTTTCCCTGTGTTTTAGTTTGACTTCCTGTTCCGCTGTCTGCCCCGCCCCAATGTGTTTCACTTGTGTTTGTGTCAATTGACCCCGTGCATGTGACGTCCCGGCCACGCCCACTCTCCATGACAGACGGCGGAAGTCTACTGTAACTGCGAGCCTACGGAAACTTGACCAAAACATGTTTCACCGAATAACAGCCAAAACTGTGATATTTTGTAGTGCGGTTGGTTGTTCTAACAGGACATAAGCCAAATGTGTTTTTTTATTTGATACCTGCTCGTGATGAAGACAGAAGACGACAATGGTGGCAATCAACCAAAAGGACTGGGAGCCATGCAAGTACTCCCTAATATGCAGTGAACACTTTTTACAAGATAAATCAATCACAATTTGTATTTATTTTCTTTCCATTAATTTATTTGGAGGACAATGACACAACAAAGTCTTGAAGTCAAACGTGTCTCTTACTACTGTCCTGTCTGTGCGCTGCAACATTGAAATTTTCCCAATGTGGCACGAATGAAGGATATATCATCTTATCTTGGACGTAAGTTGCGTCTTTCACCATTTTAGTAGCGCCACAATCATTGCCAGCGATTACATTTACTAAACATTTTTTTCCTCTTGCTACGGCTTCAATTTCTTGATAGAACCAGACCGGAATACTTTACTATCGCGTTCTTCGCCATTACCAAACTACAACCTGCCTGCTAAGTAAGTAAGTAAGTAAGTAAAGTTTATTTGTATAGCGCCTTTCACAGACCAGGGTCACAAAGCGCTTCACACATTAAAATACAAAATACACACTGCTCTGATTGGTCGGATGGAATTCAACCGATTGTAATCCCAAACCAGACCCAGACGTTACAGGCAGGGATTTGATGATTGACCGGAGTGTACGGATGGATAAGACCAGGCTACCCCGGTCATGATCGCCTTGTTAGTCCATCTCTATCAAGAAAGGTCACTCACTTAAATAAGTAAAAAATAAACAGATGTTAGTCAACTTTCTGATTTGACCCAAAGCTCAAAGCGTTTCCAAAAGGTGACAAACGAATGAATGAGCCGCTGCACAAATCAAACACTAACACCGGGAACATCAAACAGCTCTGTGTACATTTCCTCCAATAAAAACATTAGCAGTGTTCAGATGAAGTCCGTCCGTCAGAGCTCATTTGAACAGCTGCCTCTGCGCCCAATCGGCTTCACGCCAGGACAAACAAACCACTCCACCTCAAATAACCGTGACACCGACCGCTGCTGGAGAGACGCAGCCGGAGAGCCCACTGCCGGAGAGACCGCTACTGGAGAGACGCAGCCGGAGAGCCCACTGCTGGAGAGACCGCTACTGGAGAGCTCGCAGCCGGAGAGCTCGCAGCCGGAGAGCTCGCAGCCGGAGCGCTTTGTGGGACTTTAAATAGACATTACACACATCCATAATGAGCATTCAAAAGCTCAGAAGCCTTAAAGTATTGGTATATTGTCATGAGCCACTTCTCAGACCAAGTCCATGGAGCGGGTTTTGCAGAAATAGAATCAAACAAAAGAATTTACCACTTATATTCTGGGCAGACATTTTGTTTTTATAAAATAATATTGTTGCTGTTCATACTAGGCCCAAACCAATAGATATAAAAGAGGACATGTAAAGGAGCAGTAGGAAAAATGTGGCCTAAAGTGGTACTGCAGCCTCTCCCACTCTCCCTGACTCAGGTTGCCAGATATGCAGACGAATCCAGCTGTGACTATAATTTCTGAAGAGGGTTTTGTCAACAACAAATTGATAACTAACATCTTTTTCACAAAGGCCCCGATTGAGAAACATAACAAGACCTTTTTTGTTCACCGGCCACATGTTACTTTACCATAGTTTGCATTCAATCTACAAAACCATCTTTGTGTGAAAGTGATATTTGTGGCGATTTAACTCCAGAAATTAGGTCACTGGTTTGTACAAGGAATTACGGCTTCAGACGAAGAGAGTTTGTCTGACGGCAGCTGTGATTTATTCACTGGTGCCTGGATTAAAGCTATTATCTTATTATATTTCATTATTTATAATGTGATACTTTATGTATCGCATTATGAATGAATAAACAATAATAAATAAATTATGTGTGATTTACTTCAAGACCCCTACACCAGGGGTCGTCAACTGTATTTGTCAGAGGGCCAGAATCTCCTCTGGGCCGAACCTCCAAAGAGGAAATAAAATCAAATTCAGATTTATTTATTTGCCATTTGCAGTAAAACCACATTGGAATACATTTGCAAAAGTCCCAGTGTGCACCAGACAAGTACAATTATAAGACAACACAATTTATTCTACCAGAGGGAAGAAGCTGGAACATGGCTTCTCCAGGGGCCAGAAGAGTCATTGATTGTTAAATATATATGTTTTAGATCATGAAAATGTTTCAAATGTTACTTCACAGTTTTATTTCCATGGAAGCAGGAGGTGAATACAGTTCTTTGTGAATCGGGTGAAGCGTGTTGGTGGTGGAAGCATCAAAGTGTGAAATAACCGTTCACAAACTGAGCTCCTGTGGATTCAAACCAGATCTGTATAATCCTGGAGTCCGGGCGTCTATCGGCCTTTTCTCACATGTTGTGGTGCAATGAGTCAGGCCGCATGAAAGATGGTAAATGGATTATTCAGCGCTGCATGGATTATGTAATACTTTAAATGATATGTGTTTCCCACAATAACAAAAGCAGGGACAGAGGCACATTAGCATTAGCTCTGCATGAGACCGGACTGGACTCGGGGAAGAGGAAAGAATGAGCCTTTCCGCTTTCTGAACTGCCAAATGGAGAAAGATATGGTAGCAATACGGCTGCAATAACAATGTTTTTTTTGGGTTTTTTAGTCGATTGTTCCTCTTTTAAATATAAATGGTATTTGTACAAGAATAAATCCATATTGTGTGAAATGACATCACAGAAGAGAGGTTCTGTTTCCATCCTGAAGTTTGACACAATGTACAACAAAAAACTTTTATGAATGAATCACTCAAATAAATACACATGTGGGGTTTTTTTTATCATACGGCAAATCATAATTGTGTGTTTTGGTCACAAACATCCTCCCTGTAAAAAGTGCATTTATACACACTGCAAAAACTACGGAAATATTAGATTAAAATTTATCCTGTATTTTTTCCCCATTTTTTTCTGTGTTCTTAGCTTAGGTTTTTGTTTGTATAGATTTTTTTTGTATATTAGATTAAACTAGTATTTTAACTTGATGTTAATTCAGTGGTCTGTATAAACCGGGTCCAAAGAACCTTTTTCCCACATTTGACCAAAGTACTGCAGTTTTATCTGTTCTTTGGTCTGTGATGGGTCAGAATGCTCCATTGTTGTGGATTGGATGTTTCCAGATTTTAAAGTCTAATAAAACCTTCGATAAGACTAGTCACAGATTACAGCTCCACTGATGGTATCCACTACTGGTAATTCAGCGGTAAATATTGCTCCATCACGTGAAGTTTTATGAATCTGACCCAGACTGTCTGACTTGTTCAAACACATTCAGAAACTCATCCCCCCCGTGTTTGTCTGTCCTCTCAAACTTTTCTTATCCCTCTCTTCGTACCTTCTTCAAATATCTGGCCTCCTTCTCGTCTGTTGTTTTCTGCCGCTGACAGAACAGGTCACCTCGGCTCCACCAGAGAGTTCGGACTCCGCCTGGTCGACCGTTCTGCTCTGGTTAGCAGCGGCCGCGCCCCTGACCAGGACAAGATTCAGTTCATTTGGCATTTGCAGTAAAACCATCGTAAAATACATGTGCGAGTTATACTGTTTCAATACAAGTGGAGTACAAGTGCTCTGTTTAAAGTGATAACAGCCTGTGGTCGCTCTCTCTCCGGTCTCTCTCCGCTCTCTCTCTGATCTCTCTCTGGTCTCTCTCTGGTCTCTCTCTGGTCTCTCTCTGGTCTCTCTCTGGTCTCTCTCTGGTCTCTCTCTGCTCTCTCTCCGCTCTCTCTCTGCTCTCTCTCTGATCTCTCTCTGGTCTCTCTCTGATCTCTCTCTGGTCTCTCTCTGATCTCTCTCCGGTCTCTCTCCGCTCTCTCTCTGGTCTCTCTCTGGTCTCTCTCTGGTCTCTCTCTGCTCTCTCTCCGCTCTCTCTCTGCTCTCTCTCTGATCTCTCTCTGGTCTCTCTCTGATCTCTCTCTGGTCTCTCTCTGATCTCTCTCTGGTCTCTCTCTGGTCTCTCTCTGGTCTCTCTTTCTGGTCTCAATCTGCTCCCTCTGGTCTCTCTCTGCTCTCTCTCCGCTCTCTCTCTGCTCTCTCTCTGATCTCTCTCTGGTCTCTCTCCAGTCTCTCTCTGGTCTCTCTTTGCTCTCTCTCCGGTCTCTCTCTGGTCTCTCTCTTCTCCTTCCCTGGTCTCTCTCTGGTCTCTTTCTTGTCTCTCTCTTGTTCCTTCCTGGTCTCTCTCTTCTCTCTCTCTGGTCTCTCTCTGGTCTCTCCCTGGTCTCTCTCTGGTCTCTCCTTCGTCTCTCTCTGGTCTCTCCCTGGTCTCTCTCTGGTCTCTCTCTGGTCTCACAGCAAACTTTCAATGGTGCAGCAGTAAAAAAGAAGCAGAATCTTAGACTTTGTGGTGAATTCTCTAAGTTTTCGTAGAAACAGACAAGCCCCAAGAGTCGTCACAATGTCTTCAATCCCATCATGCACTCTGCCAGTCACCCAGGTCGCCTCTCAACCGCCATTAGCCTAATTGTCGCGGCGCCCGGCTCTTTTCTTCTTTGCCAACTTTGGGATTGGTCACCCTGAACGCAGATCGGAGGAGCGTGCCAGCCCAGCGCGTCTGGCTGACGGCGGCGAGCCAATCCATCCCAATTATGCTAACAATGCTAACGGTCCGCCCATGTCTCCACACGCATCGGCCGGGCACTCAATTCCACTAGCTCGTAATTGTCGGTTAAAGTGGAGCTGGAAGGTGTTTTGGAGAATGGCATCTCTGTAGGAGGCTGGTGTCATGTGTGGAAGCAGGTGGCGCCGGGACACTTCTGCCTAGACAATTATGCTTCCTGTTCACGGCGAGGGAAGAAAGACTTATAGAATCAGAGGTGTTAGAGAAAATATGACTCTGGTGTATTCTGTATTGTGACCACAAACATGAACATAATTGCTTGTTATTGAAAAAGCAAATGTTAGCTTAAATTAGGGAAAAGTAATCTAAACTCATACAGTAAATGGTCATCAGAAAAGATCCTAATTTTCAAGACCAACCTCAAAATGTTGCACAGAGTTTATCTAAAACAGGGTTAGGCGAGATTTTCTCTGAGGGATATCTGCATTTTAGGATATCTGCAGATAGTTGAGGAACGGACCAGTTTTCACACATTTAACTTTTAATGTATTAAGGCCAATAAATCATATTGCTATTTTCTATGAAAGCAACAGAATTTACTTCGTGATTACATTTTATAAATAAAATATTTAGGAGATTTATGAAGGTCTGTCCATCTGCTGCCCCCACGACCCAGAAACAGAAGAATATTTTTTTCCGTTTTATTTGTTGCTGGGTCACCTCCTCCAGCTCATCTGGGGGAATCCTGAGATGTTCCCAGACCAGCTGAGAGACAAAGTCCTATCACTGTGTATAACTGCCTCCTCAGAGTCGTCCAGGCGGCATCCAAAACAGATGCCAGAACCACCTTCACTGGCTTTTCTTGACGTAGCAGCTCTACGCCGAGCTCCTCTGGTGTGACTGAGCTCCTCACCCTATCTCTGAGGGATCGCCCACCACTCTTCGGAGGAAATTAATTTCAGCTCCTTGTATGCAAAACAAGGATATAGGACAGTGGCTCAGTTGGTAGAGCATTGGCCTTTGAGCCTGAAGGTTGTGGGTTTGAGCCCACCATGAGACCTTCTCCACCGACTCCCACTGTCTGTTGTTGTGTCCTTGGGCAAGACACTTAACCCCACTTTGCCTGAAGCCTCTGCTGAAAGACAAAGGCGATGCCATAGAGCAGCCGTCCTCCTATGGACTCACCACCTGCAGGAGGGTCAGTGAGGGGCTGGTGCTCTGTGGACTGAGTGGCATCTCTGGCCACCCTCCAACCTAGACATGGATTAAGGGGTAGAAAATGGATGGTGTCTAAAACACGTTATACAGGTATTTTGAGAAAATTATAAAAATTATTGATGATGGGCTTGGATACTATTTTTTGGTTTTGCTTGGATTGAAACCAAATTGGATCAAAGAGGGAATGGTCCGGATTTGGCCCCCAGACCCAAGTTTGCTCAAGTCTGCGCTAAAACTATAGTTTCCCTATTGTTCTTCAACATTGGTTTCACAAACTAAATCACACCACCTGATGCCGAACGTACTGAAAACCTCTCACTTTAACCCGATCCATCAAAACCTAAATGCAAATCTGAAGAACACACATTGTTAGATCAAACACA